GAGAGAATCGGATGGAGAATCGGAGATAGGTGATTCACATCTCACGGTATCATTTGTACCCGACACCAAAGAAGAAGCATGATTGAGTACTGAAGGATCAGGTAATGATATAGGTCTAAATTCCGTTGATTCACATTTTTTACGTTTAGAAGAATTCTTTGATGACAAATCCTTAACAGATTCATCAATAACTTGATCATTTTCTTTATTTAACAAGTCATTAAATGATCTTGATCGGGAACGTAGTCGATTTTTTAAAGAATCTCTTTCATCATTTTCAAATTTTTTTAAAAGACTAAGAGTTCGAACCATGAATTTGTTGGTGGAAACGTTATCTTGACTCTTCTCAATGGTTTTTTTCTTGCCCATTTTGTTATGGAAATTTTTAAATCCTGATAATTTACGAGTACAGGGTTGTGTTGACTGTGAAGTATCACACCGATCCGTGTCTACACAATAAAAAAAGAAAAATTTAATATATGCGATGAAAAAAAAGAATTGATAAAATTTTTTTAAAGATTTTTTAAAAAAATATATACATATATGTATATATGTTTTTTTTTTTTAAAAAAAAAAAAAGTTGACTAGCAGGAATAATTTTTCATTAAAGGAGAATATTGGCGCGAAAAACCGAGGATTACAAAGTGATTACGAGAAGTGGATTATAAGTAGTTGTTCAAGTAACTAGCCAATGTGCAATGGGCTAAGCGTAAATGATAATCAAATATATGTGGCTGTAAAAGTGGTTAAAAAGTATAAATGGTATAAAGTTATATATCTTTAATAATATTGAAAGTATATTCTCCGATGAATATCATTGACTATAATTCGCGCCAAAAGGGCAAATAATTTATTATGTAATTCATCAAAACCACTAGACTATCCGTATTGCTTATGTAAACTTGATAAAAGTCTAATAAATTTTATGAAATGAGATTATGATCAATCATGATACCTACCATTTAACTGAGATGAAGAGGAGGTTAAATCAATGACATTATTAGTCGTAATATTTGAGAGCTGAGAAAGCGCAGTTGAAATGGATGAAAAGCTTTGATCAGTTAAGTCTTCCACCCAAGTGATTGAAGAATTAGGAGATCTAGGTTTTGTGTCAGTTGATAATATTGACTTTTCATGAATAAAAATAGTTAGCGTTTAAATTACAAATTTAAAAAATATTAGGTAATATTAGGTAGGAAGAGAAACTTACCTTATTGGCAAAAATTGTAGACTTTATTGCATGATGTTGTGACGATTGAAGACTATCGATGGTTGCATCGAGCGGTTCGTCATCACTATAAATAAATAAATAAATAATAATAAATAAAAAAATAAAAAATAAAAAAATAAAAAAATAATTAAAATAATTAAAATAATAATAATAATAATAATAATTAAAAGAAATGAGAATAATAAATAATAAATTATATAATAAATAAATAGATAAATTATATAATAAAAAATAAATATAATAAATAATTATACATATACGATAAGGATTAAACGTACGTTTCTTGTCTATCGTCATCAAGTATCATTTCTATATCATCATCATTCATGAAGCGGAGAGAGTTTGTAGGTGACGAAGGAGTATTATCGGTATCGGTGTTATCAGTTGCACAGGAGTTACAAGATAATTTACTAGAACTAGAATTGAACCGAGAACAAACAACTTTACTAGGTCTAGAAAGGTCTAGTTTAGAATCATGGAAATGACGCGTTGTCTTGTCATTGTTCAAACGATGGTTGTTATTAGATATATCATTGGCTTTTGAAGCGGCATCCACCGGTTTTTTTGATATTGCCGATTTGAAAGACCATTTCGTTTTTTTTTTAGAAGAATGAGAAGAACTATTGTTCATTGTTTTAGTTGTAGGTTGTTGGGATCCAGTGGTTGATAATGTGGTAGAAGCGGCTGGCATTATGACACCCTGTGTAGCCCGCTAACGAAAAGGTAAAAAGATAGTTTTTTTTTTTTTTGTTTTGAGAAGAGTGAGAATGATCGAGAGAACAAATTCCTAATAGATAAGGATACTAGGCAGTTATTTATCAGTTTAT